AGAATACATGTTGACCGGATAACAATTGGATCCCCTTCAAAATGTTGTTGAAAATATGCTACTATTAGACCCTTACGGATGAATGCTTGAACTGCGATTTGAAGCTTGTCTTTAAGAAGTTTGGTCCAGCCTCGTGTGATAGGGCCAAGTGGTATAGTAAATTCATCATCCTTAGCTTTAGGGTGTGTGGTGCATGATATTTACAAAATCCCGTTTTAATCCTGTATAGGACTTTCTGCATGCACCATCTTCAGTAAAATAGCCATATCTTGAGTTCCCGATATCGGATTGATGCGATTCAAGAACCGTTAGAAAGATAAGAGACAGACGGTCGTATATTCAGAAGACATCTTGACTAAATAAGATCAGGATCCCATTCAAAAAGTCGTCGTAAGTCTTCTTCTGTTCTGATCTTCTTTTCCAATGCTTGGACGAGTGGATCATTTGGAAGAGTTATTACTTCTTCCTTTGATGTGAGCCTTGTGATGCATGTATCATCCTCCCTTTCTTCAAAAAGATTCGACCTCGAATCTGAAACATTAAAGGGAGCAACATTAGAATCGTTTAATGATTCATTCACATTATACTTACCAAATAAATATGCTTTGAATCTTCGAGACTTTGTTCTTTTAATAGGTTCGAGTAGAAACATTAGTCCAAAGAAGCATGTATTATGGACTCTGGTGCATGTATCACTAATGCTAGATGAAAGTTTACCATAACATTCCCGTCCATTTCAATCCATTTGTTGTCATCTGTGAAATCTGCTGGCTTTTAAATGATAGCTGCTAGACAACCGTTTTTCCTCAGGATGGTCTTCATCTTCAATTTCTACAATGAGAAATTTCTCCCATTAAATTTTTCAATATCAAATTTCGTAGTCATAGCTTCTATTACAGATAGCTCCCACTATTTCACTATCGTGAATAGTTCTATGGAACCTTAAAAAGAATGGGTAATACCTTCTTACTTTCTTATGTTAGAGGATCCACCTTTTGGTGGCAACCACAAAGACAATAAGCAGATATTACACACTCAAATCTGGCTCGGATACCAATTGTTGCGGAAGACGGCTATCGGATAGAGCAAAATCGCAGCTGATAATTTGAGAAAATTAAAATTAAGATAAAAGAGACACAAAATTTACGTGAAAAAACCCCTAAATAATATAGGGTAAAAACCACGGGCAACGGTAAAAGAATTTCACTATGAGAAAATAGGAATTATAACTTCTCTTGATCTACCAAGGAGAAAACAATGACAATTCTCTCTTGATAAAAAGGAGAAAACAACTCTCAAGAAACTCTCTAAATTCTCTCTAGCATTGGAAGAAAGCTAGAATGCTTTGGGATGGTTTTGAAGCTAAATGAGCTAGGGTATTTATAGTTGCAGCTTAAGGACTAATCTTATAAATACCCTAAATTGCAATGACTAAATTTTGTAATTTACCCATTTAATTTTCAACCATTTTCACCTAATTTTGACATTGCAAAATTCGGTGCCTACCTCCCTTTTTTGACTAAATTAATGCCCTTTTTCGGTGCATTTCAACACTATCATCTATCCGGAATGCAGCCACAGTAATGTCAGCACTAGTCTTGTGCCAGAATAAACCTTTCATAATCCATTCTATATAAATGGTCCCTAGCAATAACCAAGAATTCCATAATATTATGCTCTTCAAACAATCACAAATACTGTCTTACAATATGCGTTGTCTAATGTACACTCGTTTTAAAAATTAAAAATTATATAATTCATAAACAATAGAATCCATTTTAGTAGTAGCTAACCTGGAATCAATTTGGATTTTCTTGTATTGATAACTCAAACTAATTCTAAGTTAGCTACTACTAAAATGGATTCTATTGGTCGTGAATTATATATGTATATATTTTACTTTTTATTTTTAAATGAGTGTACAGGGCACATCAGATGTTGTGAGACAATATTTGTGGTTGTTTGAAGAGCATAATATTATGGAATTCTCTGTTCTTGTCGGAGACCATTTATTTAGAATGGATTATGAAAAGTTTATTCTAACACGTAGAGAGACTAGTGCTGATATTACTGTAGCTGCATTTCTTATGGATGAGAAATGGGCTACTGCATTTAATTTGATGAAGATTGATGAAGAAGGGCGTATAATTGAGTTCTCTGAGAAACTAAAAGAAGTCTAGCAAAGGAGAAAAAGAAAACAGTGAGAAAGGAGGCAATGAAGAAGGGCCCAAACAAGAGGCAGAAGCAGGGGAAGAGATTTATCAAATAGAGAGGTGACGCTTATATTAATAAATAATCTACACGGAAATAGAATGAAATGGTAGGTTCACAACAAAGATGACATGCATTATTATTATGAATATATCCACTACTTATTAAAAAGTAAGTGGAAAATCTCCAAAAATTATAATTAATGCAATTTGCATGCGAATCTCCAAAAAGAAAAAAAAGGAAGAAAGCAATATTAATTTATTTTACCCATCAAACCAAACCAAACCAAACCAAATAGGGAAATCTCTGCCGTCCATTAAAGCATTCACCATTCATTAATCTCCTTCTACTACGTCTGCTATTCGCCGCGTATACCTATTTTATTATTGAAAGAAAAGGAATACTATTGCCGTGCAAACTCGACCGAATGATTCATTTCTTCCAAGTCCATAGAACTTTACATTATGGGCCGATATTTCGCATTACAATGGTTGTTCTTTATAAATTTATTAGATCAATTGGATATTAATTCAGTTGATATTATTTTTTATAATAATTTAAAATTTTAAATTCAAATATATCTAAATATATGTTTTCTTTCAATTTTAGAATTTTAAAAAGGGAACTCCATATCATATATCGCTCAGCTTTATACGAAGTATAGTTTATACTGATAAACTTTCGGTTGTTTTAAATATAATATTAAACTTTGATTTTGACTTCAATTATATTATTGGGCCGTTAACCGTTAAAATCCAAAAAATGTGATGACATGTACAAAATAACATCGCTTTAGTGTAGTTATTGATGCCCAAAACGATATCGGTTTAAACACTGACCTTTAAGAGTGTATCGATTATTCCACTACACTTTAAAACATATTACTTTTTGGCACTACACCTTTCTGACCTCCGTTGATAGTCAATCATCATCCATCATTGATCCTCTTTCACGACAAGACTCATATCAAAATGTTTAAATTTCAAATCCTCTCTTTTCTCATTTTCCACGGAACTCACTTAAAATTGACGAAATTAAACAAAAAAAAATCCACCACTTTCTAGGGGTATGGGGGCTTTCTCATATTTGAAAGGTTTAAAGTGTTTGTTCGAAAATCCAATAGCGAGAGACATTATTTCAAGAAGACGAATAATATGTCTCAAAATTAGTCTCATTGAATGGTCATAAGAGAAGATCAGAGTATTAGCACATCGAATCTTTAGATGAATTTTGGTAACTTTTTTTAGTGAGTTTCGCGAAAAATCAATCATATGAGAAGAAATATGAGAAATGTGAACGTTTTGATACCAATCTTACTACAAAAAGACAATCAGTGACATGAGATGATTGGCTGCAAACGACAATCGAAAAAGACTAGTGACTAGACATTTTTAAAGTTTAATGATAAAATCAATATGCCCCTAAAGTTTTATTTTGAATAGATACTCCCCTAAAGTTCAATGTATAAAACAAAGTCGTTTGGACATCAATAGTCGCGGCAAAATGACACTATTTTATCTGTGTCATCACAGTGACTGAAAGATTCATCCATATCATTGTGACGTTAAAATTTAATGGTTATATAATTAAAGTTAGAACCAAAATTTTGTGCAATAATTCAAACAATTAAAATTTTAATGGTAAAAACATTATAACGCCTCAAATTTAATGATATCGGACGTAGTTTTTCCTCTAAAAAATTATGTGAAGTCATGGATAAATGGGTTAGCTTACAGTTGCGTGAGATGCAGCTGAGTGCCATGGCCAGTGTGAGAATGAAGACCATGAATGTCGCTTTCATTTATGTCCGGCTGCTTAACATCTCAACTTCAATTCTTTTGTTTATATTATTTTGTGAATTTAACGAGCTGTAATGCCCAAAAGTCAGAGCCTTACACCTTAATATATGTTGGTCGGTGAGAATGTACAACTCAATTCCAAACATCCTTCATACAAAACATCAACTCAACACATTGATTGGTCGACTTGTTTAAGATTTTGTTCAGGACCTTACAAGTACTATATACTTGTCTTCTTAATCCAAATATTATATATATATTATTCTAAAACTTGATTATATATTTATATATCATATTATGCAAGCTTAGCCACGTTGACTATATATTACTCTGGCAAGAAAATGATCTGATAATAAAGGTTGGTCATTCCCCTTTTAGGCAAGACCCAATAGTCAAATGCACATTATCTCCCTCTTCGCTTCCACTACAGCAAAACAGTTCTACAACGGCATTTTTAGTGGCGTTTTGGGAGTAAACATCACTAGCTTTAAACATATAGCGGCGTTTAAACCCCAAACGCCACAAAATGGTAACTTTAGTGGCATTTTTTTTATAAAAACGCCGCGACAAAGTAGTACTTTAGTGGCGTTTTTATACAAACGCCGCAATAGGTTCATCAATAATGGCGTTTTTAAAAAAACGCCGTAATAGAGTTGTACTTTAGCGCCGTTTTTATAAAAATACCGCAACAGGGTCATGTATAGTGGCATTTTTTGACAAATGCCGCTAAAAAGTAGTACTGTAGCAGTATTTTTATAAAACCGTCGCAATAGGGTCATGTGTAATGGCGTTTTTTTGACAAACTCCGCTATAGAATAGTACTGTATGGCATTTTTATACAAATGTCACTATAGACTTGTATTTTAGTGGCGTTTTTATACAAATGCCGCTATAGACTCATACTTTTGTGGCGTTTTTATTTACAAACGCCGCAAGTGTATAGTTTTTAAGTCTCACTCCCTTTTAACCTTTTTCATTTTTCCCCTTAACCTTTAGTTGCAGCAACTTCTCGTTTGGGCATTCGATGGAGAAAGTTGTTCGAGTTACCAGTAAATACCGTCGTTAAATCAAGCCCATCTGCCTCCGACGCAGCTGTCAACGACAAAGAGTCAGCCGTTGATCCATTCCTGGTCGAGGCTCTTCAAAATCCTCGTCATCGTCTTACCAGTAATTTTTCTTTTCCTTTTCTATTGGATCTCTTTATAACTACGTTGATGAACATGTTTTCCCCTTTTATGCGACTTAAATTTCTGGTGTCTTCGTCCTAGGGCTAAATTTCAAAATATCAGTCAGTAAACCACCAGTGTCATTTATGGATTCAAGCTTTAGGGTTCGATTGGATTTTAGGTCGTGGCAGTAATTTGACATTTACATACGATGAAGGGAATAACCTCCGCGACTCCTGCTTTGATTCTTCCTTTCGAAAGGTAATTCTCTTCCATTTTCCTTTTCTAAACTGCCCATTACGTGTTTCCTTTCAATTTTTTCCACTGCTTCTGTTGAAAATGTGAATATGGGTATGTTTAAACCAACCCATCTGGAGACATTGGTCTAGATAAGTGCAGGGTCGGCCCCAATACCTATGCCACCTGGGCCTTAGCCTAGGGCAACAATATTTGAGGGGCATCAGTTTTGCACATATATTTGGCCATATTCTTGGCTCCACAAAGGAGCCTTGTCTTGCAGCACTGAACTCTGTAAAGGATTACCCACCTCCAGGTTTCCTTCACTCTTTTTAGCTTTATTTTTAAAAAAAAAACATAATCGTTGGGTTTTCGTTGGAGTTTTTGGACAAAATGAGTTAATGGGTATTCTTTGGATGATGTTACTAGCCTAAAAAAAAGTTGCATTCTTTTTCTTTGGGTGAAAAGTATTGAGATTACACCAATCTGGGTCATTTGGGTTATGGGTTTTTCTATTTGAATATTCAAAAGCATGCCTCTTTTGTTTTCTTTATTTACATCAATGGCTTTTTATTTCTATTTGCATTTCTTTATTCAAGGAAGTTAAGGTAAAATAGAAATGGGTTTTCTGCAATGTAGTTTTAGTTGTAGAAAAAACGTAAAACTTAGGCATAAAATGTATTAAGTTCCCATTTCATCTAGAAACAAAGCTTTATGAGTTTAGTTCACTTTGTTTAACAAATCTAGTGCTTATAGTTTGATTGTTTGAATTTTGATTGTGTAGTGGCAAACTTAGTTTGATGGAAAAAAAACAGTGGCTAAATATTTCCGTTAAAGACATTTTTTAGAGTGATTCCTTCTGATTATTTTGATTTCATCATTAATTTTCCAGATCAGTTGATTGTGAGAAAGAACAAGTCAACAACATAAACTTCGGTCAACGGTCAGGTTGTATATTTCCTTGCTAATATATCTGTTTTATTATTTACTTGCTACTATATTTGTTTTATTGATTACTTTTAAATATGTTACCTCAAAAACAACCATTGGGTGCCCAAAATAGAAAACGAAAAAAAAACAAGAACAAGAAATACAATACAAGTATAGGGGCATAAAATTATTATCTCTCACAGGGCATTAAAATTCATTGGACCGGCCCTAGATAAGTGTAAATCGAGATCCTTTGAGCTTGATGAAGCTATGAGTTTTTTCAATTTCATGATTTTAATGAGAAACTTGCCCTCAATTGTGTCTTTCAACCATCTGCTCGGAACAGTCTCCAAGATGAAACAATATGATATCGTTATTTCCCCTTCTGATTCTTTTTTTCCCCACTATTTTGTTCCTCTAGGTCCCTCTAAATTGGTTTGTATTGTAATTTAAACATATCGATAGAAACAAAGCCATATCACTCTTGAAGTACCTGATGGAGTTTGTAAATTAATAGTTTTGTGTGCATAGGTGTGTGGCATGTTTTGGACCTAATTAATTAGCATGCTGATTGACGGGTGGGATCAATCTGTGCAGGAGAGACTTGCATTTGAGCTAATTGATTGAATATGATGAGGGTTAGTTGAAATGAATTGCATTTTATAGGCAGATTATTTGCATTCATGATGTAGTGTATGTGAGGATGTTTAGGCAGGTTGTGTGCATGATTGTCATCATACATATTTTGATGGTACTGATAATTCTTTTGGGTAATGATAATTCTAATTAAGTCTTTTATATCTTGATTTTTTCCTAATTGTGCTCGAGCAAAATTTTGGGTGGTAAGAGTAATCAATTGAGTCAAGTTTGTTTTTCATTAACGGTTGAATCGAGCAACTCGTGAGTCTAACGTGGATTTTGGATTTTTATTATTTTATTTGATATGGATTTCTACATATGATTTGGTTCATCATTGTCATAGATGGACAATCCTATCTAGAGTCAAATTGTCACAATAGCCATTGTTTAAACTAAATCTGAACTCTTTATATAGAAGAAAATCCTATCTTGATTCTTGAAGAATAAAAGATGCAGGTAGTCCCTACAAGTAATTTAGATATCAGATAATTCATTTAATAATGTATGATTCTCAACTACTGCCACGATGCTATGTCTAGTGTTATTTTTCTCTCAAGACTACTTTCTAAGCAGTGGTTAACATATCGTTTACTGTAAGGTAAGTTACCAGTAAACAAAAATTACCTAAGTGTTTATTTATTATCAACTCGTTAGAACAACTTTGCACTTACTTGAATATATTGTATTTGTAAAGACTCTAATAAATTTATATGTTTGCTCATTTTTATAATTCGTTACTGATTTTGATTCTAATTCTCTCTCAAAATAAATAGTTGTTTGTCCTTGAAAGAAAATGTCTTAGCCGAAAATATGGTGTCTTAGCTATTCTAGTGGCCATTTTACCTCTTTAATAATATACAGTAATAAAACTCATTTTGATTCTAATTCTCTCTCAAATCCATGTGCATCCAAAGATTGGGACAAGAATTTCTCTTTCCCATAGATTCTTTAACTCGGATAAAATTTTATCAGATTGAGAATGAATATGGCAATGTGGAGGGTTCATATGGCCAGAAGGGGAAAGAGTATGTCAAGTGGGCTGCTAACATGGCTTTGGGACTTGGTGCTGGGGTTCCATGGGTGATGTGCAAGCAAAATGATGCTCCGGGTGATATAGTAAGGTACTTACCTTTAATTCTTTGGTTTTCTTTGTAATGCTTGTGCATATCCAATCATGGAAGATGCTTGCTTTCTTGTTTTTAAATTTCTATTTTGTTTACAACCTTGATATCTGAAACAACAAATTTGTGTTTTTCTTTAATTATACTTTACCTTCTTTTGTTTGTCTTCCTTTGTTCTCTCTTGCAGATTGATACCTGACCAAATTCCCCTAACAAACCAACGATTTGGACTGAAAATTGGGATGGATGGTAAGATCACGCCTAATGTTTTTATTTCTTTCCTTGTATTCCCTATATAGTTCCTTTCTTCCTTCATTGTGTTCTTTTCTTTCTTCTCCCTTTTGGAAGGGAGGAGCATTGTGGAGGAGGCGTAGGAAATTTTGTCAAGCTCCTATGAAGGATGTGTTTTTTTGTTTGCCCAAAAATAGAGGGAATCTTGTTCTTGTTCAATATTTTTGCTTCCAAAATTTTCAGTCTGATTTTTTCCCCTTTGTTGCAGCAAAAATGATATGCATCCAAAAACTAGGAACATCTTGTACAGGCTGAGATTGAGGAAAGTTTTCAGTGGTGTCTTTGTGATGGAGATGCTGCAGAAGGTGGAGCCGTATGTCACATACGGGTATGGAGGCAACTTTTCTTTCTTTCAAGTTGCCCTTTTTCTTTTTACCGGTAACTGTATAGAGGTGAATCTAATTTTGTAAGAACTTGTATAAATTTTAATGGGCTTCTCTATGTCAAACTAAGCTCGGGATGCAATGTCAAACTACATTACATTTAATTTTAAAATTTATAAATTTTAATTTATTTTGTTGTTAAGTATTTTTCTGCATAACTGTGTCTTAATTAAAATGTATGGTTGCTATTAGTTAGATAAAGCTACATGATATTAAATTTAGGTGATGTAGAGCAGAAATGAAATATGCAAAATCAATTAATCTTAGCTAAAGAAAGATAATTAGCGGCGTTTGTATCCAAAAACGCCGCTATAGATATTACCTTTTGCGACGTTTTTATCAACAAAACGACACTATAGATCTGACTTTTTGCGGAACGCCACTATAGATCTGACATTTTGCGACGTTTGTTACAAAAATGTCACTATAGATCTGACCTTTTGCGGCGTTTGTATCCAAAAATGCCGCTATAGATCTGACTTTTTGCGGCTTTTGTTCCAAAAAAGTCGTAGATATCAACCTTTTGCGACATTTGTTCCAAAATTGCCGCTATAGATATCGACCTTTTAGGCATTTGTTCCAAAAACGCCGCTATAGATCTTGACCTATTGCGGCGTTTTTTGTTCTCAAACGCCGTTAACTTTAGCGGCACTGGTATGGCAGGCGCTTCTTGCGGCGTTTTTCCTATCGCCGCAAGTGCTTTTAGCGGCGCTTAAAAACGTTGCTATATGACTAAAAAATGCCGCTAAAACTCTATTTTGCTGTAGTGTTCCCTCTTAAACATGATCATCGTCATCTTTCTCGTCACCTTCACCTTCTTCCTTTGTTAACACAACCACCAAAACACTTTTTTGACGATAAAGCTTCACATTCATACTCCATCAGATTTTTTTTCAAAACATTCATATAAAAATATAAATATAAACAATTGAATATTAACATTATTAGTATCTTTAAGCAGGGATGAACACAAGATTTTTTGTTAGAGGAGGCGAACTTCTAAAATTTTAGGAGAGGTGGACTTATAAAATTCTATAGGACAAAAATATATTATCAATAGAAAAATACAAAGAAAAAAAACTAAGATATATAAATAATTTATATATTATATCAAACTATATTTTTAACATGTTATCGATGTAAGTGTAACATGGATTTGCATCAGAGATGAAAACCTTACTAAGATAAAAATCTCGTGAGAAAAAAATTAATTAAAGAAAAAGAGTACACATATCTTTAATACACATAACATGTTGCCTCATTAAAAAAAATCTTACCAAGAAAGTTTAGTGTGACAAAACCTTGATTAAGGAAAAAAGAGTACAACGCATATTTACTCCCCTCAAGACAATATCACATAAGATTTTTTAGTATTACAATTCAACCTTGAATACAATCTTCAAATATTCAAGTAAATAATACACTGGTGAATAGATCTTTTAAAATATCACTTGAACGGATTAGTCGAATATTTATATTAATATTCTTGTGAAGATCATGAATGAGAAAACTTTAGAAAAATGTGTTTCCTTTAATGTATCATCTTTTCAGTTGAGTTATACATTTTACATTGTCTTTGTACAAGATAATTGACATCTTATCATGTGGAACCGAATCACATATCTTCTGGATATGCTAGGTCTACCTACTTTCTCGGCTTATCTCGTGTATAATAATTATTTCTACATTATTTGTAT